ACCCATGTTGTTGCCTGGAACTCGAGCAGACTTTCTTTCAGTTTCCAAGAAGCATCAGAACTCCTCGGATTCAGCCCTTTAGTAAATACCTCAATTGCCCATTCGTCTGGCACGACCGGTAGCAGCATCCTTTCATTCTGAAATTTGGTCACGAACTCTCGCAGCAATTCAGACTCTCCTTGCGAAATTCTGAATATGTTAGCCTTTTGGGCATGTACCTTCTTGGTCCCAGCATGGGCCTTGATAAAAGAATCCGCGAGCATCTTGAAGGAATCTATTGAGTGCTCGGGTAGAAGTGAATACCATGTCAGGGCCCCCTTTGTGAAGGTCTCCCCGAATTTCTTCAACAAGACTTACTCAATCTCGTGCGGAGCTAAGTCTTTTCCTTTCACCGCTGTTGTGTAAGTGGTAATGTGCTCCTGAGGATCCGAAGTCCTATCATATTTCGGCACGTCTGGCATTTTGAATCGCTTCAGGATTAACTCTGGTGCCGCGCTTGATTTGAACGGCAATTGCATGTACTTCTTTGAGTCTGGTCCTTTCAACACTGGCGGTGCGCCCGAGAATTGATCCATTTGGGTATTTGTTACCCTTATAGACCGCATCCGTTCGATTTTAAAGGGATCATTCCCGTTATTGTTACCAGACCTGCTACCGTTCCCCCGGCCTCGTCGAAGCCTACCTCACCCCTCGGGGTGTTGTTATCAACCCTTTGTGCTGTTTGGTTAGTAGGAGCACCGGGAGGAACTGGACATCTTCCATTCGCTTTGTTGGAAGCACCCGACAATGCTTGCCTTAACTCTGTCATGACCTGATTTTATCGCGAGAGATGGCCCATAATAGCCTTTTGTTGTTCCCTCAGGATTCTCATTATTTCCGCAACATGCTCGTCTTTAGCATCATCAAGAGTTGCCTTCCGAACGCGTCGCGGATATTGCTCACCATGTACCGGCATGGCTTCATCCCCCTCGTTGTGCGTATCGCTGATCGAGTCTTCGTGTTGAGGATGATTTTCTTGGGCCTCAACGTTGCGCGTGATGTTGACATCGTTCTCTGCCAAAATTTTTTGAATTTTCGCTGAGAAACAAAGAATAAAACATGTTAGTAATAGATGTAAGGATCAACCCAATTATGCAATTGTCTAAGCCCCACGGTGGCACCAAATTGTTTACCCGTAAAATAGTACAGTTGAATTTGTACGTTGTTTATAGATAAGAATATCAATAGACGAGAAATAAAGTGTTATTGAGCTTAGAATAATGTGTAGCATAAGTTTGTCAGAAAATTCGTGTCACTTACAATGGCTGTTGAAATCACTATTTATAGCTGCATCCAGGGAACAAGGTCCTAGGATCAAAGCCCATCTTAAATGACAATTATGGTGGTCATTGATAAATGTGTAACGGCAGGCTATGAATGCCAAAATTCTCTATAACGGACTGTGTATTTAATACTGCAGAATATTCTTCATTGAACGCTATCGGGTGACAGACATTCGTTTGTCTTTATTAGCAATACTCCCTTCGGGGACTTCCCGATACCAACCGAAGTTGCGGCCCCGGATCTTGGTGTCCACTTGTCTTGCTTTTCGTCTGTCTCCGGTTCCACGTGTCCCTCTATTATACGATTATTTAGTACGAACTGATTTTACCCTATACAGATAGTCCCCCTGCTTTTGGTGGAACATCTTTGTGTCATCGGGAAGTTGGTGAAGATACCTTTCTTGGCGAAAACTAAGTATACATTTCTAGTTGTGAACTACAAATTAAAAATGAGCCCAGTTGAGAATGGATATATAAAAGTGTTGCTATCTAAGTTGGTTGAGAAGGTTGAGACTTGAGAGTGTAATGAGTGAATGAAAAAGCTTTCTGCTTCCTTATTTCTTCTAAATAGCATTGTCGAATCTTTTACTTGGGGTAAGTTATTCTTTTGGAGTATTTTTGTGTACGGGTAAAATCAGGGGCAAAGTTTTCCCCGATTCCCCGATGAGAGAACGAACGAGAAGTGCAGATCGACGTGATTATAATTAAGGCCAGCGACCCCTCATATCGAGACCTGAACAATGTATCCGACATCGGACATGGTAAAGTGATGCACCCCGGACCCGTATAACTTCTAGACATCGGAAGATGCGGTGAACGATTATGCATGATAGGGTACGTAATATTAGCCCTCAACCGGATATTACAGCACGAATCTCATTTAGTATCGATTATGGATCAACAATTACCAGAAAAAGAAGATTTTACCTTTTCTAGACTTATACTAGGACTGAAATTATCCTACTATATAAAGGGAAAATTTTTCTTTAGTCTAACACATTGTAACATGCAATTCAAAGCAACAAAGTTTACTTTTTTCTTCTAGCTACTTTAAAAGGCATTACTCTCTTGTTCCTTTTTTCGTCTGCGACTGGGCTTGATCCGAGGGTCTAATCGAGGACGTGTCCCATAGTTTAATCTAAGATCAGGATTGGTCATAGCATTACGATTGGTTTGATCGTTTATTTTGTCTTTAATTCATTTATCTGTTATTCTTAATTATTCGTGTTGAATTAAATCACGTATCCTTTAAACCGCGTACAAATTTAATTGTTAGACAATTTTGGAGTAAACACTTTGGCACCCACCGTGGGGCTAAGGATAATAATGGTGATTTGATACGAATCTCCATAAAACACCCTATTTTATGCTTGTTCTTTGAAATCTTAATTCCAGGTCAGCCTAAGAATGCCAAACTCTCAGTCTGCTCACTTGAACGTTGATGCTGACTCAGGCCATTACGATAAAAATAATAATATGGTGCCCAGTAATGATGTGCCTCCTGCCGACCCAAACAGTGTCCCAGTCGCCGACCCAGTCGATGCTAATTCGCAAGTGGCCATCAACATCAATCTGCCAACTAACCCCGAAAATAGTGTTCGTGGCATAACCCGGCCAACGGTTCGAGAAGCGCTCGAAGGTGAAGGTGATAGGGTGAGCCTGCGATTGATTTTCAAAATGTTGCAGGCTCAACAAGTAGCAATAGCACAGCTGTAGAACCAAAGCCACGCCCCCAGCAAGGTCAAGCCCGAACAATCCCGGGAAAATACTTGGAGAGACGAATAGGTTGCCGTGAGACCAGATGAAAGCCGAGCCCGGGGAAACTTCATAGGTAATGAAGATGCTCGAAGCATTAACAAAACGGGTGGAATCAGGATAGAAAAAGATTGAGGCCAAGGACAAGAAGGTGGAAACATACAACTCCAGGAACGATCAAATCCCGGGAGCACCTCTAATATTGAAGGGACCAGACTCCAAAAATTTTATCCAAAAGGCCTTTCTTCTAGCGCAACACCGAAACCGATCCCAAAGATATTTTGAATGTCCGACATTCTGTAGTATAATGGGACCACAAATCCAAATGAAAATGTGACTTCTTGCACATGCGCGATAAAAGGGAACGACTTGGAAGATGACGAAATCGAGTTGGTGCTGCTGAAAATGTTTGGAGAGACTTTGTCCAAGGGATCAATGATATGGTATCACAACTTGCCTCCAAATTCCATTTACTCGTTCACTATGCTTGTAGATGCTTTCGTAAAGACCTAGGCCGGATCCATCAAGGTCGAGACAAGAAATTCAGATCTCTTCCAGGTCAAGCAAAGGGATAACGAGATGCTCAGGGAGTTCATATCAAGATTCTAGATGGACAGATGGATCTTCCACCAGTTGCAGATGATTTGTCCGTTCAGGCATTCACCTAGGGGCACAACCCCTGAAGTTCCGTGGCCTCTCAACATCTAAAACAAAATTTGTGGAGTACCCAGCGGTAACCTGGGCCGACGTCCACAACCGGTACCAATCGTAGATCAGGGTCGAAGATGACCAACTCGGGGACCTTTCTAGATCTGTCTACCCCGACAAAACTGATGATAGATCTAAGAGAGCCATTGATCAGGACCCAAGGCCGGTCCGACGTCGATATCAGTCGTACAGGGCGAATCGGAAGGGAAACGGATCTGGGCACCACCCAACTAGGAACGAGAAGAGAAGTGATCAAGGGCCGGGGCCAGGGCCTGATGGGAAAGAGCGGGTTTGACAGGTTGCTCGGGAGAAGGGAAGCACCAAGATTATCGGAGTACAATTTCAACGTGGACGCTTTTAGAATCGTGTCGGCAATAGGGCACATCAAAGAGACTAAGAAGCCCTGACCATTGCAGTCTGACCCCACCTAGAGAGATCCTAATTTGATGTGTAAATATCACGGTACTCACGTTCATAGGACCGAAGATTGCCGACAGTTAAGAGAAGTAGTTGCTCGATTGTTCAACAATGGGCACCTCCGAGAATTCCTGAGTAAGCGAGCCAAAAACCACTTCAAGAACAGGGACGCCAACAAACAGGTCGAAGAAGAGAAGCCTCAGCACGTGATCAACATGACCATCGGGGGAATCGATGTCCCGCAAGGACCAATGGTAAAATGCACTAAAGTGTCTATTACTAGGGAAAAACAAACCCAGGATTACGTTCCGGAGGGAGCTATCTCGTTCAGCAATGAAGACGCCATAAATATCGGGTTAAACGTGTGTTGATTGATCCAGGTAGCTTGGCCAACATCATAAGATCAAGGGTCGTAGAGCAACTGGGTTATAGGATCATATCGTACCGGCTATCCAAGTATTTAATGGGTTTAACATGGCATGTGACATCACGAAAGGAGAGATAACTTTGTCGTTGAACACCTGTGAGACAACCCAAGAAACAAAGTTCTACGTGATCGAAGGGATATGAGGTACAACTCTTTGTTCGAAAGACCTTGGGTCCATAACATGATGGCAGTACCTTCGACCTTACTCCAGGCGCTGAAATTTCCCACACCGGGGGGGAGTTAAAATGGTCTACGGAGAGGAGCCGGCCACAAGGAAAATGTTTATTGTCCATGAAGCGATCCTGGTACCCGCAGTCTCGACATCAAGAAGTGCGAGACCGACTGAAAATGAAGAAACCAAATAGAAATCAATGATACCAGCCTCAGCCGAACCGAAAAAACCGGAACAACGAGGAGTAGATGATGAGGATGATTACAATGTCCCGAGATCATTCATAGCTCTTGATGACATAGACTCCACCAAATCAACGGTCGAGGAGTTTGAGAAAGTCATATTGATCGAGCACCTACCGGATCGAAAGGTATACCTGGGCATAGAGTTAATCCCCGAGCTTAGGAAAAAACTTATTGATTTTCTTAAAGCTAACAGTGATTGTTTTGCTTGGTCCCATCTAGACATGTAGGAATCCCACCGAAGGTAACCACTCACAAGATGAGTTTGGATCCAAAGTTCCATCTGGTCAACAGAAGAGAAGGCCACAATCCGCTATCAAACACGCGTTCATCAAGGATGAGGAATCCAAACTTCTAAAAATAGGTTCCGTCCTGGAAGTTAAATACTCGTATTGGTTAGCTAACATAGTGGTAGTACCAAAAAAGGGGAATAAATTGAAAATGTGTGTAGATTATAAGGATCTAGACAAGGTGTGTCCGAAGGATTCTTTCCTTTTGCCTAACATCGATCGAATGATCGACGGAATGGCCGGACAAAAGATACTCAGTTTTCTCGATGCCTATCTGGGTACAACAAAATTTGGATGGACCTGGACGATCAAGAGAAGACTTATTTTGTTACAAAGTTTCGCACCTACTGCTATAACGTAATGCCATTCGGACTATAGAACGTTGGCGCCACATGCCAACACCTAGTAAACTGGATGTTCGAAGAACAAATAGAAAAATCAATGGAAGTTTATATTGACGATATATTGGTCAAGTCCTTGCGAGCAGAGGATAATTTTAACATTTGCAGGAGACCTTCGACATACTAAGGAAGTACAACATGAAACTAAACTCGGAGAAGTGTGCATTTAGGGTCGGTTCGGGCAAGTTTCTCGGATTCATGGTATCTGATCGGGGGATAGAGATCAACCCCGACAAAATAAAGGCCATAGAAGACATCACCATAGTCGAACACGTCAAGGCGTTTCAAAGACTGACCGGGCGGATAGCCGCATTGGGCCGGTTCATCACGAGGTCGTCGGATAAGAGCCAGTGGTTCTTCTCACTATTGAAAAAGAAGAATAGTTTTTCTTGGACTCCGGAATGCCAACAAGCTTTGGAAGAACTCAAGCGATACCTGTCGAGCCCCTCTTTGTGGTACACTCTAAAGGCAGATGAACAGTTGTACCTCTACTTGGCAGTTTCTGAGGCGGCGATAAGTGGTGTCTTAGTCCGGGAGGAAGAAGGTATGCAATTTCCTGTTTATTATGTTAGTATAACCCTGTGCGATGCTGAAACAAGGTATCCTCACCTAGAAAAGTTGGCACTCGCCTTACTAAGAGCTTCCAAGAAGCTAAAATCGTACTTTCAATGCCACCCCAAATGTGTCCTAACCTCTTACCCGCTGAGGAATATCATGCAAAAGCCCAAGCACTCGGGCTGGCTGGCCAAATGGGCCGTGGATATCAGTGGGTACAACATCGAGTATCGACCCCGAACTGCCATACAATCTCAAATTTTGGAATTTTTCGTGGCCAACTTTATGCCAACCTTGATACACGAGGTCGATAGGGAATTGCTGCTCACTTTGGGGACTATTTCGAGGATCTGGACCCTATTCACGGACGGTGCATCCAACACGAAAGGGTCCAGGCTCGGTATCGTGTTAAAACCTCCCGCAGGTATCATAATTAGACAGTTTATTAGAATTGTTAAATTGACTAACAATGAAACCGAGTATGAAGCTATATTTGTAGGTCTAGAACTGGCTAAGAGCATCGAGGCCGAAGTAATCGAAGCCAAATGTGACTCCCTTCTCATTGTAAATCAAGTCAACAGAACGTTTGAAGTAAAAGTGGAATGGATGCGGAGGTATTTGGACAAATTACAGGTAACCCGGCATCAATTCAAGGAATGGACTCTACAGCACGTACCTCGAGATAAAAACAGTGAGCTCGATGCACTAGCAAACTTGAGCTCATCTGTCGACTCCGATGACTTCAGCTCGGGGGCAGTGGTACAACTGATGAACTCGGTGGTAGAAGAAGGTCACGTCAAAGTAAACTCGACAGGTTTGACTTATGACTGGAGAAGCAAATACATAGACTACTTGAAGACAAGAAAACTGCCATCGGATCCCAAGGAATCGAGAGCCCTACGCACCAAAGCTGCCAGATTTAGCTTAGTCAAAGGGGCATTGTTTAGAAGATCCTTCTTCGGCCCACTGGCTAGATGCTTAGGTTTGAGAGAGACCAAATATGCCATGAAAGAGGTCCACGAGGGCACTTACGGGAATCATTTGGGGGCAGAATCCTTAGTTCGGAAGCTAATCAGAGCCGGCTACTACTGGAATGAAATGGAGAAGGATGTTAACGGCTTCGTATGGAAATACGGCGGATGCAAAGGACATGCCCCGATGATTCATCAACCGGGAGAGATGCTTCACCCGGTCCTGTCACCATGGCCGTTTATGAAGTAGGGAATGGACATCGTCGGGTCCCTGCTATGGGCGTCCGATAAAGTCCAATACATACTATTCATGACTAATTATATTTCCAAATAGGTCGAGGCTCGGGCGTTCGAGAAGGTCCAGAAGAAAGAATATCGACTTCATCTAGGATCAAATAATATGTCGATTTGGGAGGCCGAGATCATTTACGACAACAAAAAACAATTCGTCGGCAGCAAGGTAAATAAGCTTTTCAAAGACCACAAGATCAAGAAGATATTATCAACGCCTTACCACCCTAGTGGGAATGGGCAAGCGAAATCGACGAACAATACTGTACTCCAAAATCTGAAAAAGAGATTGACTGGTATGAAAGGAAGGTGGAAGGAAATCTTGCCCGAAGTCCTGTGGGCATAACATACGACTTTGAAGTCAAGCACCGGGGCGACCCCATTCTCTTTAGTATATAGAGCGGAAGCCTTAATACCAATCAAGGTAGGGGAACTGAGCCTCAGGTTCCAGTATGCTACTGAAGAGTCAAACGGCGAGGCCATGACCACGATCTTGGAATTATTGGACGAGAGGCGGGAAGCGGCCCTGATCCGGTTGGCCTCCCAAAAGCAACGAGTAGGGAGGTACTACAACCGAAGAGCCAACCTCCGACATTTTCAAGTCGGGGACTTGGTATTGAGAAAGGTAACACTACACACCAAGGACCCAAACAAAGGGAAACTGGGCTTGAATTCGGAAGGACCGCATAGAGTCATCGGAATAACCGACAAAGGCTCGTATAAACTAGAATCGGGAAACTTTGTACAAGTACCGAGCAACTGGAATGTGGCACACTTAAAGTGGTACTATTGCTAAGGTAAAAACTTAATTCCTTTTTAATTTAGTTTACAATACGGATTAACATATGCAGGTACTCGACCTGGGGCAATGTGACTATTAGGTGTAAAGACACGTGTTGTATCTTTTTCCCTTGAACCGATTTTGTCACGTAGTGACTTTTTCGGCAAGGATTTTAACGAGGCAACAATAAAATGTGCTACTTTAGTTTTGAAGACTGACCTTAAACCGGAATAGTTGATCGCTTGCATCGAACCAACATTATCCGAGCTCTCACAAGTTCGGCCTCAAATATTTGGAGCCATTACCCCTAGGTTAAGATCCTTAGAAAGGGAATATTTTGTATGTCAAAAGCCAAGGCTTGGTCATTAGGATCAAATGGTCATACGAACCGTTCCCATGTAGCCCACTCTGACCAGGACACAAGGCTTATGCACCTCTGATTATTTACCCTACATATAAAACACTCTTTGCTTTCCTCATACTTTATTACTATGCATTTCGCTTCTTCGATGCTTCATAACGGATCCTAGATCCTAAAGCCCACGGGCTACCCCTAGTCCGGGACTGTCGTCCGATAAAAAATTCGAATAGCCTAGGCTATTGAATCTTGGAGGCACCAGGCCTATTAGGCAGTGACCGAATACGAAAGGCTATGGCCACCCTAAAAACGGCTTGGAGACGTCCGAAGTCCGTACTCAGAAGGAAGGACCTTATGTATAATCAAAACCTATTAAAAGGTTACCCTCAGCAAAAACATCGCCGTATATGACTAAAACAATTAAGCATCTTAAAGGCCTTCGATTTTATCGAAATCTCGAAGCCACAAGTAATTCGGAATTGGAATCAAACTCGGGCCCCATTCGGGCCTCCAAAGTACGGATATTCTAGATTACGTTTGATTCTATGCTAAGTCATTAAGAACGATATCAAATAAAAAAATGCAAAGAGATGCTGAAAAGTAAGAACATGGTATTACCAAAGGGAAAATTTTATATATTTCAAAAAATATTTACAAAGGCATAATAAAACGGCCTCAAAATAAGCAAGAAAGAAAATGTACAAAAGGAAAACAAAAAAGAACTAAGGCATCTACGCCTGATCTTCATCGGAGCTTGACTTAGCACCGAAGCCTTCGGAACCGTCGGAACCTTCGTGACCTTCGGGCTCATAGAGTTCCCTTGCCTCGGCCTCGAGCCTCTTGGCTTCTTCGATCGTGGCCTATAGGTCAAAACCTCGGGCGTGAATCTCATCGAGGGTCTCCCTCCGGGAGAATCGATTTATATACTCAGTCTTCGTCTTTAAGCGAGCCTCGGCTATCTCCACATCAGCCTTATACTGGGCCAGCATTTTCTCAATTTCGGAGGAATCAATCGAAGTTTCCTCCAATTTGGATAGCAGCGCAGTATATTCCTGGCCAAGTGCATCCCGTTCCGAAGCGGCAGAAGCCAGTTGTGCCCGGAGGTTGTCATTTAGCCGTGACCACTTTTTGGCCTTATCTTTTGCCATCCAGAGCTGGACCTTGACCGATGCTAGCTCCTCTTTTGTGGCCTCCTTTTCCGACGCCAGCAGGTCCATCATGCCCTTTAGCGCTTCGATCGTGGTCTTGACCTCATCCATCTCTGCCCGAAGCTATTCAATCAAGTCTATCTTTTTTTGGACCTACAAGGTTGAGTCGTTAGTCATCACAAGTAGCTTTTCATTTTTAGCTAAAAAATCTACCTTCTCGACCAGATCGACATGCTCCCGTTTCACGGACGCAGCCTCCTTCTGAGCCTTTTCCAGCTCGACTCGGAGAATTGGAAGGTCCTTCAGGGCCTCGCCTTGTTGTTCACTAACAACCCTTTACATGTCCTTCTTCCGAATCTACTCTTTGAGCTCAAACTCGAGCTGGCTGATCTCCATCCGGGACCGAAGGAAGCTTTCATGGTGAAGCACAGAGGCCTAAAAAACAATAAAGTCGTAGAACATACTAAAACTAAGAAAAATTCGTAAAGGATATAAGGAGAAGACACCTTACCCGATTCAATGCCTGTTGCGCTTCGTTGAAGAGACTCGATGTGCCAACTTCACTCATCTTTGCTTGGTCCTCCTCGGTAACCAGGAAACGAAGAAAGCTGGCCACACCCATCGGGGCAGACAGCGCCCGGGCGTCCGCTGGGATAGTAAGAACGCCCTTTTTTTACGATCAGGATCTACACTCGAGGCAGGGAACTGCCTTACTAGCTTCGGGTCGAGCTCGGCTAGCCCATTCCCGATGACATGCCCTTTTTCAGGACCTACAGGTGACCAAGCTCGGAATAGTCCTCCAATGCGCTTATGTCCATGCCGTCGAAGAACATACTGAGGGCATCATCCGCGCCCTGTGCTGTCTCCCGTGCCGTCTCAGTTGATTTTTCTTTATCAGCTTGGGTCTCTTCGATCATGGACTCTGTGTGGGACGGTGCCTCCGCGATTTCGATGACACCAGTTGCTTCCTTCGGGGCATGAGTGGCTTCTCGGGACACCATGGCCTCTGAATCTCATTCCGGTTCCCGATCTAGAGGGGGATCAGCCTCCTGGCCACCCTTTCCAGTTGCCGCTTTCTCTCCCCCGTCGATGGTCGATTGAGCAATGAACTCAAGGTCGTCATCCTTAGGGTAATCCTTGAGCCGATAGAGGAGTCGGGGTCTGGTACTCTGGATTTGGTGTTCTTTTTGTTGCTTTTCCAAACACGGACAACAACCTTCTTCTTCTACAACCTCGGTGTCCGGAGATCCGAAGGATTTCCTCTTTTTCTTCTTTTTCTCCTCCTTTGCGACAGCCCCGAGTTATCCCAAAGTTGAGGGTTGAGTAAGCGAGGACGGGGCCTCGTCCTTATCCAATGGTCGAAGCTCGGTGGTCTTGGGCAAGCCTATGAAAGGGAAAAAGACTTAGCAAAAATAAAAGTTATGTGAATATAATTATTCGGGCAGAAGACTCACCATGAGAACGGGCCTCCTACTTGCTCTTCGAGAGCTTGCGCCATTCGCGCTCGAATTAAGACATTTGTTTGCAAATCCCCTTGATCCACTCCTTGAAGCGAGGGACTGCATTGGGAACTTGGGTGACCGCTGCACAACGGTAGACACATGCAATTAGAAAAAGAACAAAAGGATATGGCAAACACTCGAGAAAGAGAAGACTTATGGGATAAGTTCCACTTTTCAAGGAATGGTAGAAGTTCGGGGGGAATGAGATCTTCGGTTTTCATCTGAACGAACCTCCCCTACTAACCTCGATCTCAATCTTCACCGATGCTCGAGAATGGAGCTTTACTTGCTCGACGAACGAGTTTGATCAGCCCCCCTCAGAAAATTCGGGAACTGTAGAGACGAAGCAGATGGTCGAGGGTGAACCGAGGTGCTTCGGTGTTGTTTACGAAGTGGCGGCGGAGGATTACAATCCTCTAAAAGGACGGGTGAATCTTCCTAAGGCAGACCTCGTACCTTTTGCAGAAGCCGAGGATTATAGGGTCCACCAGGGCGAGCGTGAAGGGGTAAGTGTAAACACTTAGATACCCCTCCATGTGAGTAGTGATGCCTTTGTTGGGCCCAGGAACGACCACCTCCTTGCCCTTCCAGTTGCAGTCGACCCGAACTGTGGGGAGGGTGTCCTCGGTAATGGAGCATATATACCTCCATGCTCCCTCGCCCCGGTCTTGTTGACTGGAGGCCTTCTACTTTGAAGTCGTTTTCAATAGACCCTCGGGAACGAAATTCTTCAAGGGAGGCTTCGCTACCACATTGGGGATGGATACCTGGCATCCGTGTCCGGATTAGAAGTTGAAGGGGCGGTTTGCTGAGGCACAGAATTGGATGTTTTTGCCATCGAATTCTGGAAAATATGAAGGGTTGAAGAAAGATATGAAGGTTTGAAGATGAGGATGAAGATTTGAAGGTAAAGATGAAGATATGACAATCTAAGAAGCAATATATGAAGATTTGAAGAGGTTAATGGAGAATTCGAAGGTAAGTCAAAGAGCTATGGAATCGGAAAGTGAAAAAGTGAAAAAGGGTCGGCACTTTTATAGGAGAAGGATAATCAATGCGCGACGATTCACATTTGGTGACAGTCAACCGACGGCTGACACGTGTCCGAAGTCAGAACGACGCGACTGATAGGATGTTTCGCTGACCCGTCAACCCAGTTGTAGCGTACGA